TCTACACGACCTTGGCGCACACGATGCAGTGTGGCGATGGAAGAATGGGTTTGAGAGGGGGCTTACTTTTGTCTTGTATGCTGGATGCGGAGACGTGCGCGGCGCATCGGCTGCGCTTCCGAGGGAACCCTGACCTGTACCATCGTTCTCACTTCGTTTGACGAAACGCATCAACAGTCAGACCACCACATAAAATCTCGACTATCTCTCATTAAGAAATGCTGCTAAAGATAAGTTCACAGATCCTAGGAGTTGTCAAACTATTAAAATGTCGGCCTTCTCAAGCACCACGATCAGTTGAATGAATTCCGAGACGCGGATTCCCGAGAAATACACGAGGTGAGCTTATCGCAAACACACAAATGGAGAGCGTTCTGGTAGTTCTATTCAAAGAGTCCGGAACGCAAGCCCTAATTATCGTACGCTTGACCAAAAACACTGTAAACAAGCAGTGTCGCTCTCCCCAATAACGTTCGAATGATTCAGCTGCTCCAGCGAACTTCGGTTCGGAACAATCCTTGCCTTTGGCTCCGACTCCGCATCGAGAAACTTTAGTGAAAAGCTGTAATTTTTGGTGTATTCCCTCTACCTCTATGCCGAGCAGCAGTAACGGCGATTCTCTATCCCCCGTCATTTTTGTCCCAGCTGCGGAGCAATTCCGGAGTCCCGAAGCCTAAGACAGTCTTGAACCCTCATCCCCCCTACCTACAAGTCAATTTACTCTTAAAAGGTTTTGGGGCTAGTTTCCGCTCTATGGTTTGATTTCAACATTCAATTTTGGGCGTTTCCCTGTATTCCTCCACTCCCAATGCTACACACGATCACAATTTCAATTCAAACCTCTGCCTCTCTACTGTAACGGATCTAGCCCGGTGATAAAAAGTATAGCCATATCACAGGCCATTGAACTAAGGAACTCATCAGAATTCGCTTGTCTATCCACATTTTACCTGTTCAAACTGAAGAAATTGTTTATCTCTTTTTCAGTAATCTGAAAAGCGCCAAGTCAGGTTTGTATTCGCAACCCTTCAATTCCTCCTTTTCTTGAGTGAATTCCTTGCAAATTTGTCTTCGCGTCTTAGGACAAGCATACCACATGTTCACTGCTCGATAAATCGCATTCAAAACAGAACGCGCTCCATGCATCCGAGTTCCTTCTTGAAGCAACTTGACGTCGATAAATACACAAGGACCCACCGACTAATACCAAGGCTGGTAGGATACCTCCCATCCCTTCACACTATCATCTTCACCCCCTCGACGTCTCAGTCGTCTCACGGTTTGAGGCGACGTTGACCGATGTGAACTAGATACTCTTTATCGATTTTGTGGCTGCAACTTCTCGCGCAGTGGACTACTACCGTACCTGCGCTACATTGATTTTCCTTACTCAAAACCAGTGATGCCAGAGCCCCTGCAGAAACCTCGGATTAACTCAGTGTCTAAAAGGACTGATGTTTTTTTTTCTCTTTCATCAGCCTAGGAACCTAAAAATTGCTACTTGAGGATGTTCGCAGGTTCAAAACGCGTGTTAGTTGAGCAAGACAGGAAATTTAATACTAAGCACTATCCAGACAGTTCAGTCGGATTCTCTCAGATAGTATCGTTCTTTATTGTGTTTGTCCTCTATGACTGCCTTGCTAGATCTGTCGTCAGACAGTTGCGCCGTTGAACCCTCACGACCAGGCACCCACAGATGCTGATCCTGTATCATCCTCCACCGCCTTTTTGTAAAACTCTTATAAAATTTTCATAGCTCCATGTACTTTAATACAAAAAGAAATTGTAGTATTGATTACTAGAGAAAAAGTCATGTAGCCTCAAACTGAAGAACTGCTTTAACGTTGTAATAGTTTGTTTAGTTGGAGAAGTAGAGGAAGAGGAGGAGAAAGGACAGAAGAGATAGCTTATTTCGCTGCTAAGCTTAGTAGGATGGAACAACGATACAACATAATGTTCTATTTTTCTGTCTACAATACCCCCACGCACCCGTACGATAGCTGTTTGGCATACGCTAATTCAGTCCGAACTGAACTTAACCGCATTTTCTAGCAAAATCGTGCACCTAATACAAAAGATAACTCTTTCCAAAAGGCTAAAGCATAGCAAAATCCACCTAAGTGTATCCCTTGCAAACATTGAGCGCTGTTTCGTAGTTTCCCATAACACCACCTTCGCAAACAGTGAATCCAGCAAGACCAAGAAAGCCAACCCCAATAGTAAATTCGGATGCAGCAGTTACAGCTGCAGCAGTTGCAATGCCGCAGCCAGTGATAGCGCTAATAGCGGTGATTTGAGCGCCTGTTACACAATCCTGGCATCTTCGAGCAACTGGTTCGGGACACCGTGGATCCAAGGCTGGAACGAGGGCGTTCCTGATTTTCGCAATGGAGTCATTGCGCGCGTCCGTAAGTACTTCTTCGACAATCTCCGTTGCGGTTTCCCCATCGAGAAATTGGCGTTTTCCAAGGGATATATCGGCATTGCCTCCTTTGGGAGAAACGGCTACCGCAGAGGCACAGCTTGAGCTGAGGAGGATGGAAGCAATAATTCCAGTGAACTTCATTTTTCTCGGATTACATTTTCTTGGTATGGGAGCGGGAAGTCAGCAATATTTTGGCTGTCGGCGAATTCGATTCGAGTGTAACAATCTCGTGTAAGATTATTCGTGATAGGAGAACGATAAAGTATCTACAGCTCAGCGTTCCTCTATTTCTAAGTTTTCTTAGGAGGGCTCTAATAGAGGAAACATGGGTTAACAGTATGCTTTTAGGGACTGAATTGTTGCTAATCCAAGAGAATATCAAGTAGACACCTGAGGGATGAAATAATAATAGCGAACGACTCAGTATGGATCCCCCGCGGTCAAATCGACTGCGGGCGGATTGAATACTGTTGGATCCACTGTGGTCGGATCAGCTACTGTTGAGTTCATTGCGGTCAGTTTCGTCGTGGCCGTATCAATAGCCCTCCGGACACTAAGTCATCGAGTATATTCTGAGAGGTCGTAAACGAAATCACTCCTGTTACCTTTTGCTTCTAGTTACTACTTCTAATTAAACAATTCTCGTACCCTGCTGCGGAAATGTCTGTAGCACCTAAAGTTGGGCTGTTTTTCTTCAAGAAAGCTCTGTGCACATAATTTTGGATCCTATCCCGGAAACACGGCATTCGAAATTGCGGTCAGACTAATCATGAATTCTAGAGTAAAACGATCATCACGTTTTAGCAGCTTTAGTTTGCTTTGACTAGTTTACAAGACATGAATCCGAGATTGATAAGATGTATATAATGTGCATACCTTGTCCCTAAAATTGTTATAATTCTTTTTCACGATATCAGATTACCACTTACTTCCAGCGCCTAGAGTTCGAACTCTTGCCCTAACCAACACACCAATAAATACTCTGTATGTCTAATCTATCTTTGTAGTTACCAAATATGCTTACTTGTCCATTTTGTTAGAACAAGAAGAACCGTCACCAGCAAAATCAAGCACGTTGCGATTGCCCTTATGGCTTTTTTTAGGTAAGCTCTGGAAATGTCTACACTTGAATAATGCTAAAGCAGCGAAGTTCCGCTCTGGCTATATCCTTTCGATGCCACACCGTCGACAACCGAGTTAGCGCTGCCGGGCTACGTCTTTGCCCAGAACAAAATGGGCAATTGCATTCTTCAGGGCATATTTGTACTGGACTTAATGAAAACAACAAATTCACAGACGAACTTTGTATTGGTTCACTTGGCGAACCTTTTAGAGCTAGCTGCACCAGCTAAATGGTTTCTTACTATACGGGTGTACTTTCCCCTCAGGACTGCGTGTCTACTATAGCGAGAGAAGAGAACGGGTCCTTGTGGCCTCGTTCAGGGGCGGACGCTTCGTAAAGTAAGAAAAGAGAATGATATTGTATTGAGTTGAGAGCCCTGTTTCCGTATGCTCGATCGCTACTTAAGTATTCAAAGTGTCCAAAGTAAGCCTAATGGTAATCGTCTTCGAACCCTATCTATTATGTGCCTAGCAAAATCCGCACCTAAATACGCACTATGTCACGGCAACCACCGTGGTTGCCGTAACACCAACCGTACCACAGGTGCCGGGTGCTCTGCCTAGCACCCAAGGTCTACTAACCAGCTTGCTAAGTATTAAACGCTAGGCGTATGTTACACGGGGTTGGGCGATGCTTTCCTGTTCCTGGTTTGCACTAAGATAGGTAGTGTTCGTATGCTGGAAGCCGTGCGGCTTGTCTAGCGACTAAGTGGGATAATAGGTATTTAGTAAAATAACAATCTAATTCCATAAACGATAGAATAACCAGCTCATTGCAATCTAAGTAAGAGATAAAGCTATGAGAAGAGAGAATTAATGAAACCTTTCTATCCTTATATCCTCTTTGCTGTGTCAGTTGCCATCCTGTCCATGCCGTTTCCTCGGGATAGTTGGGATGCCATGCCATCTTGAGCCCCGCTGCCATCCTAGATGGCAGGCCTCGGCGGGATGTAATCACGTGACCCGCGCGCCCCGCGTAGATCATTACCTTCTGACGTGTGCCCTTGTTAGTCCTAACATTGCATCCTTCGTTAAGGAGAGGTCTTTGCTTGTTACCTTTAACACTAATATCATATGTAGATATAATTAAAGCTTCTAGTAAGCGTTTTATCTCGTACTTGTGATGTCTTATAACAAGTAGCTTACTATAGAGGTAGAGAGAGTAGTTGTAGAGCTAGAATCAGCTAAGACTACTTAAAAACATTAGCGCGCACTATTAACGTATATCAATTGTTACGCCTAGGAATATATGTAGACTTAAAATAGATAGTAATAAAATTGCTATCTATAAAACTCTATGCTATTGTCTTATATCCTTTTAGAGCTATCATGTAGAGAGTTGCGTTGATTTAGTAGGGTGTACAGCTTACTGATCCCGGACGTTAGACAATCTTAAGGTTATCTAAGCTTAATCTTCTCGGCACTCCATCTCTGTCTATTTAGGAGATACAGCGCTTGCGTGGCCAAGTGGTAAGGCGTCGCACTTGTAATGCGAAGATCGCTAGTTCGAATCTGGTCGTGAGCAATTTAAATGAAGACTGCTGCTAGCTTTGCAAGCTGGTAGCGCCCTTTTTTTCCTCGGGATACATAGGTAGGACCCAAGACTACAGATCCGGAACGAGGGATGAGGAGATACTTTTTTGCCCCTTCGTGTGTGTGATGCTGAGTTTTGGTATTGTTCATAGGAAAAGCTTGACACGGGTCTCTGCGGGCCTATTCACAGGTCAGTATACGTACTATACACAACGTGAAATGGCACTCAATAATGTTCAAAATTGCAAAAAAAAAACAAAAAAACGCATGAATCTATAAATTTGAAACTCCAAATTCATACACTCATCCCTCATCATAAGCAATCCACCATCTAATAAACCTCAAGTACATAGCGACCCTCATCCTTGAACTTCTCAATCTCCTTCCTACCATCAACCTTCTTAGCAGATGGGTTCTTAATCTTGTGCTCCACCTCAACCGCCTCCTGCAGCACCTCCGTGACATCAGGCACTGGCCATGTAGGACCACAGAGGTAAAAGCTACCCTCCTTCTCCAGGTAACTGCGACGAATGTCCTTGAGGGACTCCCTCATGCGGTCCTGGATGTAGATCTTCTGGGGCTGATCACGGGAGAAGGCGCGGCCAATGAGGGTGATGATACCTGCGTCCTGGTAGGCCTCCCATTCCTCGCCATAGAGGTACTCTTCGCGCTGGTGGCGTGATCCCATGTAGAGTAGTACCTCGCCGATCTCGTGGCCTTGCTGCTTCTGGTAGGCACGTTCCTGGACGAATGCACGGAAGGGTGCGAGGCCTGTACCCAGACCAGCCATGATGATGGGGGCAGTGGTTTTAGGGGGAAGCTTCATGACGGATGGCTTGACGGAGACGGTGACGGGAGCGCCGACCTTGAGGCTGTTGAGGTAACGCGTGGCTTGACCGAAGCGATCGCGGCCCTTGGGGTCGACCCAGTTTACGGTTACGATGAGTAGGGACACGGAGTTGGGGGTTACGTGCTGGGCGGAAGCAATGGAGTACTCGCGGCGCTTCATGGGGTTGACGATGCGGACGATGTCGTGGAAGCTCGGGTGAGCAGATGGGAACTCAAGCAGGATATCAGCGTAAGTGACAGTATCGACCTCAGCGCGACGCTTGAACTCAGTAGCACCTTCGGCGCTGAGGAGCTGAAGTAGCTCGCGCTTCTCGGCCTCGTCGTCAGCAAACTCGGCAAGTGCCTCGTAGAAGCGCTTCGGTGGGCGACCAAAGATGTCGACGTTTTGCAGCAGAGATTGGTACACAGTGCGGTTGACCAAGACATTGGGATCCTCGCGAGATGGCACTTCGACAATCTCGTTAGGGTTGAGACCATACCACTTGATGAATTCATCGACCTGTGCCTCGTCGTTCTCAGCGTGAATACCAAGAGCTTCGCCGATGGCGTAGGTAACGCCGGAGTTGCCCAGGTCAAATTCGATGTGGAAGATGTTACGATCGTAGTTCTGGGGGGTAAGACGACGGCGCTCCTTGACATGGACGATGCTGGTCTTTACACCAAGATCAGGACGGACTTGGTTGGAAGTGCCAAAGGCCTCCTTGAAAGCGAAGCCTTTAGCAGCGACTTGCCAGTCCTTGAGGAGCGTCGGGGGCTCAGGCTCGCTGCGCTCGAAAGGAGCGAAGCTGGTGATATTGATGTCCGAGGGGAGACGGATGGGTTCGACGTCCCCCTCGACGGTGCCCCAGGAAGCTGGAACTTCTACCTCACGGAGAGCACCCTCGAGCTGCTGGCTGAGCTTCTCAAATAGCTCAGGGCTACCGTTGATGGCGGCAAGCTTGGACAAGCCGGAGGTCACAAGGTCCTCGCGAGCAACCTTCAAAAAGGCGAGCTGGGTAAGGAAAGACTCCAAAGATTCATCTTCAGCAACAGCCTCAGAAAGAGCAGGGTCGAAAACGAAAAGCTCGACATCCTTGTCAACGAGAGCCTTGCGGAAGGAAGGCGAGAGCTTCTTCTCCATGTCCTCGTTCTTGACGCCTGGAAGCTTGACAATGATCGAGCTGTCAGGCTTGACGCTATTCAGGACATGGAATTCCTTGAGGATGGCTGCATCGCCAATGAAAGCGACATCAGCCTGCTCAACGGCATAGGGTGCCTCGATGGTGTAATCAGCGTTGCGAATGTCGGTACGTGTGACACCGCCCTGGACCAAGTTGTCATGACCATTGCGCACGAAGACATTCTTGGAAGAGTCGGTTGAGAAGAGCTTGCCAATGGCAGCAGGAGCGTTGGCAGCGAGCGATTCGTCCAAGTTCCAGAAGCTGTACTGCTTCACATCGGCATTATTCAAGATGTCTACGTTGGAACGGACGTCTGCACCTTCCTTCTCAGCGTAGATTTGACGGAAGGCATCAAGGAAGTTGCTGGGAGTCCAGACTTGCTCGCGAGAGTACTTGACGTCGGTTACCTCAACAGTCCTGTCGAAGGTGAACTGAACCGCAGCCAGTACGTCGGCGTAGAGCCTGGAGTATTCGGCAGGGTCAAGCACAGCAGCCTCGTCCTTGACCTGACCGAGCACAGCAACGCGGCGAGTGCTCTTGGGCAAAGCTTCCAAGAAAGCCTCCTCGACGAAGGGACGGTAGACGCGGACGTTGATGACACCGACCTTCTCTCCATCCTTGGACAGCGCAGTTGCGACCTGGGCAGTCAAGGAAGCCTCTACAGTTCCAAAGACGACGAGGACGCTCTCGGGCTCCTCATGACCGTAGTAGTCGAAGAGCTTGTAGTCCTCGCCGAGTTCATCGTTGAAGGCTTGGAGGAGACGCAGGACGCGACCAGCAGTGTCTGAGTGCTTCTTGTCCACGTCGGAAACTGCCTTAAGCACCGCCTCGTAGCTGTTGTGTAGCCTGGTCTGATCGAGGGTGTCGACCAACCTCGCCGTCTCCCTTCCAACGCTAATGCCATCGTATGTGTGAATGGTAGGAATGACGCTCGAGAGCAGGGTAGCGAAGAGCGACATATGCTGGGACTCGAAGACAGAGGGACTGCAGACGAGACCAAGGCCTAAGTCTTCAGCGAGCGTAAGGGACGAGACATAGTCGGTGACAAGGCCAGCGCTCGCGTTGGCCGAGTAGTCGACAGCAGCGATGTGTGCGGTGAGGGGGTTCGCGACCGAGTAGAGGGCTGCGAGCTGGTCGAGCGACGAGCGGAGGTAGTTCAGCGTCGAAGAGGAGGCGACAATGGACTGGGGAATGTGGCGCTTCTTCAGGTCAAAGTCCTTGGAGAACATGTATCCGAGGGCAATGGCACCTGCACCAGTCCTCGTCTCCAGTGAGGAGACACCAGTTTGGTATCCAAAAGCATTCTTCTCGCCCTGTTCTTGCCAGTACTTGACTGCCACATCCAGGTCGAACGACTCAGCCGAGTATGCAAAGATCTTGTCCGAGAGGGCGTATGCGACCTGTTGAACCAGAGTCTGCGCTGTGAGATACGTGGGGCCACTGATGGATTGGTAGGAGAGATCCTGGCCAAAAGGCAGACTCGAGGATTTCTTGGTGAATTCCTTGGGGGCGTTCTGCTCAGCACCAGGGCCGGCAGAGTCCGTTTGTTGGAAGTGCATCGTGAAGGGCGATGTATGCGCCTCAACGTCTCAGACTTTGGTAACAAGTTCTGAGAGTCTCTCTTTGATTTTTGAAAGAGAGTGGGAGTGGGACTATCGTCTCCCTGAGGCTTCACCGTGGGAACTTATCGGTCGAGTGGGCTTGTCGCCTCGTAGCAGACAAAAAGTGCCGCATCTCAGTAGCGACATCGGCAAATTGAGCACCGAAGAAGACGCAATCGGTCATAATGCTCGTGATTGGCTCTTACTACATGCTCTAGCACGTCTTTCGGGCGATAGATTGGAAATGAACGGAATGTCGCCTTGACGCGACGAGAATTTGGCCCTAGCGCGAATTGCGTGCTTAACACGCCAAGCTGGGGTCAGGGCGGGGAAATCACGGCCTCGGAGATCTGATTACTATGAAAACTGTAATCTAAACTTGCTTCAACATCGCACGCCAAACCACGGGGAAACTACCCAAAAGCCTACTCATTTCTTGTGGAAATATCGTTGCCATTTCTGCTACACTTTGTTTCTGCGCTACCGCTCATTCCCACATCATGTATTGGCCCTTATTCCCTCAACTACCATCTCAAACAGGCAGCAGCTTCGGCACACCCCTCTTGACACCCGGCTCACCCAGCCCAGGAATAACCAGCGGTGACTTTCTCTCCATAGGCGTCCTTTCAATAGAGAAAAACACAGTAATTGTATGATCAGGGCCATAAGCCTCTTCAACCAGGTAGACCGTGACCCTCCACCACGCGCACAGAGCACTCAGCATCCAAAAGTAGTTCGCAGTCTTCATACCCTTTGCAACTCCACCCATCAAGCTATCACCGGACGCGCTACTATCAGACATAGTATACGGCATGCCGTTGTACGCAAACATGCAGCACGCAATTGTACTTCCAATCGCCAGCGCGAAGAGGCAAACGGAGAGAACAAGATCTCTCGCCGTTGCAGCTAGCGCACCCGACCAGGTAAAGACAGAGCAGTACATATCAAGTTTCGAGTTCGAGGAAATGTGTATGTACTCCATGCGGCTCCAGCGCACCAGCAGCCTGCACATGTCTCATCAGTAATCTTTCCTCGTGCACACTCTCACGTACAGCAAATTTCCAAAAGCTGGGCATGACATACGACAAATGCATACAAAAAGCCTATCGCCATTCAGAAACTCCCCCACATAGTTTCCAGAACCGTAACCAGCGTATCCCTTGCTTTGAACCCGTACAGCCCCGCAATGAACTGCGCCAGACCGCCAAACAACCCTACAAACGGGAACAAGATGGTTGGGCTCTCGGGCCCGCCCCACCAGTTTGCAATTTAGGATGAGGTTATCCATGTTGAGCCTGCGAAGCCTGCGAGTCCGAGGGCGGCCGGCGGTGCGATGGGCTGGAGGAAGATTCGGATACCCGGCGTTTGAGAGAGCGTTTTATC